CGGCTTCCACAGTTCTGTACCTCTTTTGAACAAACAGAAAATCACAAAACAAGGAGACACTTAAATCAGCAGCAATCATATGTTTGTAAAGAAAACATATGAGGATTGGAATTATGAAAGAAGCACTCTTTGTAGAGATAACACTGCAGTCAGCTCTTATGGAATTTCAGGAAATGTTAATTTCAATGTATGAAGTCGCCTTTTTCGTTTTAGTATAAGGCTAGTAATTTAGTCTGATAAATATTCCACAGCACACATGACACATAAATAAGCAAATTATAGAACTGTCCTGTTCAATCCATTAATTCCATAAGCTCCAGAGAGACACTTGGGGAAACTTTCACCTGAAAGCTATACCTGTAATGAAACTGGATCCTTGTAGGAAGACCCATGTAAAATTAAGTCCTTCAGAGCAAATAAAAACAAAGTTTCATTTTATTGTACGTAGGTTATTGTACATAGTTATCGCTGGCTTCATGCCAGTGATAACCAACATGTATGACAGGAATCAGAAATACTGCAGAGTGACCAGATACCGTGTGGGCTTATGACAAGACAAAATAAATGAAGCAGTAAGTAATAATCGATTAAGGGAGAGTATAGAGGTTTTGTACATGTGTTCTTTATAATCAGGGCTAAAGAAAAAAAATATTATATAACATTTAAAAATATAGGTAAAGTAAGATAAGTGTGAAAAATTGCATTTTTAAAGGACAAGCATCCTTTAAATATCCACCAACTGCAGTCAGTCTGGTAAAACACACTACCTACCTTCCTGATCTTCATTGTGCCTGACCTTTGCAAAGAAAACGTCCCAGTCACATCCTATTAAAGCACAAACAAAGGCCCCATTCATTCCTTTGAATGAGCCGTACTCCAATGAATGGCTGGAGGCAACCATGTGTGACACATCTAAAGAAATGAATGAGGCCGTGGCTCATTCTTATTTGCAAAGGTGAAGACTGCTGGAGAGGGAATAAAGGTGAGTATTTTACCAGGTAGGCTGCACTCAGGAGGAGGGGGGGGGTGGAGTGTTTACTTAAAAGACAACTGTTCTAAGAGTAGTCATCTTTTATTTATAACTGCATTTACTATATTAATTTTCTTTCTCTTTTTATCTAGCAAGTGGAACCACCTGCTGCAAAATGCCTTTTGTCTACAGAGTTAAAGTGGAAGTAAATATGCCGGTAAAAACGATTGCCAATCAGCAAGCTTGATGTGACTGTGCAAGTCTCTTCTGCCATAAAAGCTTCTTGCTCCCATCAAGCATTCTTTTCTCTGTACACAGAGACCTGGCATGCCGAGATGAAGTAACCCCCGTGCGCATGCGTGGCAGTTAAATGAAGTGGGCAAAGTCTTAAATCCCATAAGAAGACCGGGAGGCAGATGGAAGTGCCAGCAAGGGAGGAGCGCAGCACTGGAGGTTTGGCAGGTACGTCTGCCATAATGTGCGACTATGCCGTGCATACTAGAACCTTATGGCTGAAAGCTCCAGGACCCCCTTCTGTTTTTTTTAAATAAAATGTACTTTACTTCCACTTTAAAAGGCTGAAGGAGAATATTTACACAAGTGAATAAGCCAGAGCAGTGAGTGCAACCAGACAATGCCAGTTTTAAGGCAGGCAGCTTCTGCTTTGCTGGCTCTTTAGAAAACCCAAAGTCCTGGGGGAACCATTTGTTATGTATTAAACATTTATTTAAAAAAAAAAAAAAAATGGGAGGCCATCAAAACTGGAGCAGACACAATCTGGAGCAGCTGCCCATGGCAACCAATCAGCTTCTCTCTTCAGTTTGTTCAGTTAAGATTTGAACATGAGAAGCCGATTGGTTGCCGTGCACAGCTGCTCCAGATTATGTCTGCTCCACTTTTGATAAATTCCCCTCAATGTGTGTTTATGTGTGTGATTGTTTGTGCAGAAATATAAAATAACCCCTGCACATACTCCACATTCTGATTTCTATCATATTGATATACTATAGCTATAAATATCAAAGAAGAAGCAATCATATCATGGAACTCTACCTTGTCCTTTAAGCAGAATGTCCCTGGGGATCCAGAAAACAAAAATCGGTTCTTGACTTTCAGTTTTCCAAGGTTGGCAACAATCAAGTTATTAGATCGAGAGCTTTCAGGGATTAGGAGAACTGGGGCTCCAGCCTCAATGTCCAGCAGGATCCGAGAGGCCCGTTGTGCCTGGTCTCTGACCTTAACAAGGTAAATCAAATGACACAGAAGCACAAGACTATTACTCCCGATAGCTCAGATCCTCATAAGTATGCATTTCCCAACCTCCACCAACCTACCGTTTGCCCCTGAATAGCTGCCCTTTGCCGGCCAAGGACATCCTGTAACTGAGTGAAGTGCTGGATAAATGCCACCACCTCAGACTGGAAGCGCTGGGTGTGAACGTACTGTACCGAGGCCATCCGCAGGTTTACACGCATGTCATACTCTCTTTTTAACAAGGGATCTGGAGGACCATATCTATAGGGCATAGATAACAAAACAATCAGCAATAAAGGGGATCATCTTTTTTGATAGGTATATGTGGTTAGGGTGAATAATCAAATGAATGTGTGTGGCAGAGTGTTTCTAAAGGACCTCATCCTAGTTACGTCGCAATTGATCCGGTGCCACTCTCACCTATCAACGCATGGCAACGTAAAGGAAAACTGGACCTGCACTTTATTTGTAATGCAGCACACCCCAATGCATGGCATGTGTGTTGTAGTTTGCTGTTAGGTGGGTCCATCAGCACCTACTGTATTTGTGCACCGGAGTTCTATTCTAAATTGTAAACGACTGGCCCTGGAGTGCGCCATACAGAGTTTTGGAGTAAAATGAACATGTTACTGTACATTAACCAAACACATATATATGAAGCCAGCCTTAATATTCTGGTAAAGAAACAGATTTCTTATATAGTTTTTAAAAGTAAACCTATGGGAAAATTTTTAGCTGCAATCAATTACAGGTACCGCCTCCAAAAATCCAGGGTGCAAATATGGACCACCTTCCTGCTCTGCTGGCTCTGATCCCACTTTTTTATCTACTGGTCCACACACTGATAGGCAGCCCCAACCAATAGCATAGTACAAGTGGTGGGAGGGGGCAGAATCAGATCCAGTAACAAGGAAGCTGGTTGGTACTTTCTCTGCAGGTTCCAAAGCTGCAGGGTATCTATACAAAATCAGATCTGCTATTCATTTTAACCCATTAATGACCAGTCATGTCCATAGTACGTCACTGGCATCGGGCCCATTTAAACTTGTAAAGCCGACTGTCGGCTTTACAGTAGAAGTGATTCTGGCCGCTCAGCTGCCGCCAGATCGCTTCTACGAGCCCGACTCCCCCCCCCGCTGTGTTTCCCGGGCTCCGCTGCCCCTCCTAAGGGCCCGGGACCGGCTTCTCTGGTGTCAGGGGGAAGCATGGGAGGTGATTGGTGAGCGTCCGTTCACTGATCATCCTCCCGTACTATGGGACCGGGAGTGATGCAGATTAAATCACTTCCAGTCCCATAGCTGACAATGCTGGGCTCCTGAAGCCTGCGATCTGCACTTCATCAGCTTATTTGGAGTGTAAAGGTGATAATAGGAGTCTTTTGGACCCCCAGTATCATCTTAAAGAGTACCTGTCACTGCCAATATGCTATCACATGGAGAACATGTATAGGTACATCTACTGCTGACAAGCCAGCTGGTGATAAGGATGGATGTTAAAGTGTCTTATCTGTGAACAAGTATAAAGAATTTTATGGTTAAGCTTACTTGAAAATGTGGAATATCAGGGCCTCGTCCCCGCTTGTTGTAAAGCGCTCAGTGTACAGCTCGCCATGGGCAGTTAGGTCACTCAGCGACAAGCTACCAATGCTCCCCTGTAAAGCCAGATCACTCTCTGTGGTAAATCAAAAGAAATAATGTAGTTAAAGAAGGCCTGTCATAGCATTATAACACATGCAGCCCTATAGCAGTGCATAGGGATTGATTTACTAAATCAACGTAGACACTGTACACTTAGAGCGTGAATGTTCCCTGACCTTATGAAATAAGGAAAAGCCGTGTGTACTTCAGTCGCCCAATTGCGTGCATGAAAACTGCTTTTCCCTGCATATTATTGAGTTTTCAAAGTGAACACAGTTTAATCTTATTTGCCCAGCTTAGTTAACATTCACTTTGTTAAGTGAGCAGCCTCTACTACTTTAGTAAATCAATGACATAATATTTGTGAAGTGTTTAAATATACTTGTTGGTTTACAATTTTATTTTGTAGAGTTTGGAAATACATATGTTAAGGAATGTTGGGCAAAAGTGTTCACTACATATTCAACTAGTGACTCTTGGTTATTAGCACTGCAGAGTGACTATTTCTTGCTCTTACTGCAACCCTCTCAATCGACTTATGCTGGCTGTATACAGATCAGTCCTTAGGTAACTGATTTTAAATCAGCAGTCCAGCAATAGGTGTGTACAGAAAGATAGGCTCTAGCAAAAAAAAAAAATGTATATAACTATATGGGAAATACAATATCTATAATATTTAACAATTGGGTAAAAATGGTCTAAAAAGTCACTTAAAAATTAATGTTAAGTACTTAAAATCAGTATTTACTAAAAGTACTCCAAAATTTCCATTCAAAGGAAACCTGACCTGGTCTAAAAAGTGGAAAGGTAACAGTGCTGGACTATGGCAATTGATATTTTCATAAAAGAGGGAGGGGATCAGGACCAGGAGAGCCCAGAGCTTAATGTCAATGTCAACTTGGAGAGAGACTGAGGACTGATGAACCTAGGATGCAAAGGGTGCCACAGAGTTTGAATGGAGGACATTTACTTGCACGTTGTAGGCCAAGTCAGGTTTTCTTTATGGGACAGTCATGTAAAACATTATATGAAATGTAAATACGTTATCTGTTGAACACAGACACAGTTCTCTCTACTCTTTTGGTCCGACACTCACCAATGTTTTCCAAATGGGTAATCAGCTTGGATACACTTGCTTTCGCCAGTTCACCAGCGGTCTGCTTTAACACCAATGATAAAGAGTGCACCTTTCAAAGCAAGAAGGGACATAAGTTACAAACTAACCAAAGTAAGGTTCCACAGTAGTGTCTGCTGACACTACTGCATTTTATGTACAATGTCCCCAAAAAAAGAAAAAAAAAATAATACAGTACTTTGTAACTAACTGCACAATACCATCCGTGCATTGTGGTGCACTGCAATGCATATGTGCTGGGCTGTGTTTTCAAGGTGTGTTGGGCTACCATTCACTATGAGTAGCACCTCACTAGCACCACTATGATTAGCACCTTCTGATCATGTGTTGCGATAACCCATGTTATTACATTGCAAATATTTGAAGACAACCCAATGGGTCACCCAACCCCCACAAGTGACATTTCAGCTATAGGCTAGAGTTACATGAGTGATATTTAGTAGCTCAAGTCATGATACTAACTACTAAGAGTAGCTAATAATCAATAAACAGATGGAACAAATGGTTCCCTATGGTGAAGATTGGTCTCCTAGTGTGTTCCTCTAAGGTTTTTAATTACCTTGAGATCCATTTTTATATTTGTATGTTCTTGTACAGGAGCACTGACACTTGAGCTCATTTCCGATCTCATAGCCTGCCGGCTGTCTGTAGTCTCTGGCTTCATGGCATGGTTATCAGCTGTTGATCCAATTCCGAAAAAGTCTAAAATTACAACCCAGGTCTGCAGTGCAATTAATACGTCAAGGCAGTTAAAATCCACATTTACGCTCCGATTGATACGTTTATACTTTGAGGAGAATTCAGGGTGGTTTTTGTCCACCAAAAACACATTTATGTGGACCAAGGAGTCATCAAAACTGTCCTTTCGGCGAGATGGCTTTGACCTGTCTGATGTGGGGGAAGGTGGTGGAGTTAAAGGGTACTCAGAATCAATATCTTCACTTTGTTTCTTGCGAGACGTGAGAGCTGGTCTTTGGTATAACTGGAAGACATTTGGTGCTTCCTCCATATGAGAAGGAAGAGATCGCGGCATGTCCGGATATTCAACATGAGACACTAATGGACATGACTGTGACAGATATTCCTTGTGGGCCAAACTTGATGTCTTAGGCGCTCCCCGTGATACCATCAGATTCTTGTACTTTGAATCAGGATTCTTTTCAAGCAAGTCTTCCATGAGAAGAGAACGTAAGGCTATCTGTATGGCCAGGGTTTGTGGGTGATCTTTATTAAACTCAATGTCAAAGTCTTGAAATTTGAGACTGACTAGGCCTTGAGCACCAAGTGTGAGATCACCACTCAGCTGGATCTGCAATTCAGAGATACGGAAATTCGCCTGAATTTGAGTAAAGTGTTTTTCCTCCTGGGTAGACACGGATTTGTTGGATATGGATCTAAGGTGAGGTACATTGAACAAATGAGTTTCTTTCTGCTCAAGTAAAACATCAGCAGCTTTAGATGCAGATTTATCAGGGGTTGCAGAACCTGAGGTGCAGGAAGACTGAGGCAATGTATTCACATCGCCACTATATACCAAGTTGTCAAGAGTCTGTAAAACCTGCTCGTACACATGTTTTGCAAGAACCACCTGTATGGAACACAAACAATAAATAAAAAGGTGTGTTTGGCATGATTTAAACTGACTATAACATATACAGTACATGTAACGCTCAAAGCAAAAGCAGTCCCAAATATTCCTGATATCATGAAGAAAACAAGCTTAAAAGGCAGTATAGCGCATCTCTACTGTTGTAATCACACTTTTGCATAGGACTACTTGCTACCTCCCCTTGAGGGAGAGAGGGAGGTTTGGGGGTAAATTCGGTTATTAAATAGTAAAAAACACTAGGAGGCACGGAGCTTAGAGTGCAAATCCATAGAACTGTAATAGGGCAGCTGCAATATTCTCAAAAGGATAGGGCACTCTCTAAAGTTCCATTAAAAGGAGAACTATGAGGTGATTGAAAATCACTCAGCCTCATAGTTCGAGCCGAAGTGTGACAATGAAACTGTCACGTCGGCTCAATAGATCGGGAAGAGAACACATACCGTCGCTCGCTCACTTCTCGATCTATCCCTGCAGAGAGTCGTGACCGTCACTCACGGCTCCCTGCAGGGACTCCCCCCCTCCCCTTTCCGATCCTCCAGCGCTGACTGGCGGAACGGACGGGGGAGGGGGCGGGTACAGCTGGCTGTGCCTCTAGATAGGCAGAGCCAGCTGTCAATCACGCAGCTGGGTGGATCCAGACAGTAATGTGGGGATCCGTCCCGGCTGCGGCGGTCTCAGTATACCGCAAGCTGTAGCTCGTGGTATACTGAGCTTTGGGTCACGGGAGGACGCTAGTTTGTGTCCTCCCGTGACATTGCAATTGTGATCACTCGATCTCAGCTGCAAAGCTCAGACTTCAGCCCATTCTCTCCCAGGCAGAGTCCCGTACTGAGTTCTGAAGTCTAGGTAGATGCAGGAATATCGACAGCCGTCCTCCTACCTAGGGGGAGGACGGCTGGACGCTGTATGAGGTGATTTAATGCAGTTTGAAGTCCAGCCGTCCTTCCATCTCTCCTAGCTGAAACTCAGTACGGAGCTCTGCCTGATAGAGAATGTGAAGAAGCCTGAGCTTTGCAGCTGTGATCCAGTGATCACAATTGCAATGCTTTCCAGGCTTGAGTGCAAAAATTAAAGAAATGCATATTTTTTTATTTTATTAAATATGCATGTCTTTAATTTTTGCAAAAGGTGAACTTATCCTTTAAAGGATTTGTGACCTACAAAATACCCATTTTAACCCTTCTCTCCTAGTGACTCTGATACATTGTAGCATGGCCTAATGGAAACCTATTCAAATATGAACTGAAAGGTTGTGGGAGCCAAATAAAAAAAAGTAAACACTAGGTACAATCATTAAAACATATCTTGGTCTTCCTCTCTTCCTCGCTACAAAGCCCCTTACAGACTCACCTGAACATTGTTGACCAAATTTCCCTGAATCTTTAAAATGCTTTCCACCGCTATAGGGTCTTCATTAAATGGGAAAGTTGCCTGGTAGTCTCTTTCTAGATTAAACTTCTCCATTTTGAATTGTATGGTAGTGTTGTGTAATATGTGGAAAGCTGGAGAACAAAACATAATATTTTACAATTGCAGATCATAAAAGGTCAAAGCACAGCTCTTAAAACTTTTACGCTTAAATCTGGAATAAGCAAATATTGTCTAAATACAACAGTCCTGTGTATTCTTTCTCGAATTTTAATGTACTTTTTGTTTTCTTAAAGATCTGTGCAGTAATTCATTGTGAATCTTTGCTTCTGTGCAAGAGCTTCCTGTAATAAAGACCAGACACTGCTGTGCTCTCTGCTTGAGCAGGGTGACTGGTCTTGTGTTCACCCCTCCTGTAGTTTTCTATAACTCTGCTTTCTGCACAGGAAAATCAAACAACTCAATAAATATAATTTCTCCAGGCTCCCCCTGGCTGCTTGGCTACAGAATACAGCCACTGTGCGAGTTGCTCTATATCAAAAGGTAGGGCTGCAGCTAGCGATTATTTTCAAAATCGATTAGTTGGCCCGATAATTTTTTTCGATTAGTTACATTTTAAAAAAAAATATCCCCCCCTTAGCTAACTAATCGATGAGAATAGTTGCCAACTATTCTCATCATCAATTATTATCAATTTAGTCGATTAGTTGTTGCAGCCCTAATTAAAAGGACATAATCTATGTGAAAGCAAAGCCACTGAATTTTTCTTACCGCTTCCTTTTGGTCTGTTAAATATACTATTGAAAATGTTTTGTTATATCATTTCGATAAGTGCATAAACATACCCGTTGATCATGTCAGAAATTCAGAACTCTCTAGTGTACACTTCACGTGTTATCTTAAGTAGAGTAATTAGCCCTCCCAGTCCTTATCTGCAAAGGGCTGACAACAGTCCACAAAAATGCTGCATGTTGTGAGCCCACAACAGGATTTAGGATCTGAGTGCAATTTCTGTCAAATCAATAGGTATTTTTCTGTACAAAATAAACACCTTGGGAGGGGGAAGCAGACCGAATATGGATCAGCTGTGCATAGTAACCAATCATTTTCTATCATCTACTTGTTTAGTTAAGCTTTGAAAATGAAAGCTGGAAACTGATTGGTTGCCATGCACAGCTGCTCCAGATTCCATATGCTTCAGTCTTATATATAAAAACATTATACCCAAATATACTAATATATAAGAATGTGTGAATATCATACTTAGACAGGTATACTTGTGAACAATGTGTCCAAAGTTGTACATAAGGATTAATTATACAGAAAAACCTGTCCTTCCTAGCCATCTCTGCTGCACAGATATCTGCAAGACTTCTACTGGGAAACAGAATATGACCAGTAAAGCATAAGTGTGCGCACAGGGTGTGCCGATGTGCCTGTGCATACTCTAATCACTTTGAGTACAACACTGAAACTGCAACAGTGGTACGCCATGTTTTTGGACACCAAGCTGGTGGAGAGATCACAAAGATCTCTCCGTGACCTGCTCTGCAATACAAAGCACAACAGCACTTGCCACTTACATTCCCTCCATAACAGCTGCAGTCCTCGGTGCCTGGGAAGCTGCGAGGGAGCGTGGCTGTGGCTTCCCATCCAATTAGGAAGCCAGGCGGATGGTCACGTGACCACCTGCCAGGCTCCCTGCTTCATTATTGCACCCCTGCTGGAAGAGAAAAGTGACAGTTGGAGATGGGAATCTTGGATGTCTGAGGTCTATTTATATAGGTATACACACACACACATACACACGTGTGTGCGTTTGTACTTTTGCATGCACACCCTAATGCAATAGGCTGCGCACGCCTGTGCAGTAAACTGAAACAAACCTGGCCATAGTATCTCCAGCCTTTTTCACAGAATAACAATAAATCAGTGTTTCACACAACTGCTGGTTTAAATCAGGCTCAGTCTGGTAGGAATTACTCTTCAGAGATACTAAAGTTTAGGGCAAACTCAGCAATGTTGTTAATGTCCCCAGTGCTCCACTTCAAACACCTCAGTGCATTACCGCTTCATTCAGATACACTGTTCTTTTCCACTGTAAAAACTTTAATGCAGTGAGCTAAAATAAAATTATGCAAATATTGAAAATATGCAATTGCTTCATCTAAAAAAAAAAAAAAAAAACTCACCTTGCTTCTTTTGCAAAGACTCAAAAAAATCATGGCGGGTAAAATTTGCCTCCTCCTGACTGCTCACACTCGCCGAGCCTGACATGGACCGCGAAGATTCAGATTCTGAACGCTGATATTCTTTCTGAGCAAGGACATTGCTGTTCAATGAATAGAGCTTTATATCTTTAATCTCAACTTGTAAGCGATCGCTGCTTGAGTGGTCCTCATCCGACACAAAGTTCTGAATAAATATTTGACCTAGGTGTCCAACAAGAAGTTCTGTACTACCAGGAGTACGGGGGATTGACACAACTGGAGACTCTATATTAATATTTAAAATGAGTTTTACTGTATCTATTTTGGCACCGACTGGACAAAATCCATCATATTCGTCCGCTTCAAATTGTACAGAGTCCCAATGTTTACGTGGAGTCTCAAACAGTGACACCATCTCACTGTACTCTGCCGTTTTTGTGGCCAGCACAGAGGAAACTTTTGAGGCTGCAGTCTTTAGCATGTTACGGAAGTTATCTTCCAACTCGTCCATTGATAAGGTCAGCTCTTTCAAAAACTTGGCCGAATGGTTATAATGCAAAGATGCCATTTTTAAATTAAGGGCAATTTCTTCTTTGGACTTCTCAACAAAAGTAAAACTCAAAGCCTCCATCAGACTATATTGAGAGTCTTGTTTAACCAACATGGCTTCAAAAGCCTCAAACCCTTGACCTTCATAAGCAGCTGTGTTGCCTATACTAATCACATACTGTTTTTTTGAGGAATCCTGAGCAAGGTCGATAAGTTGGAGACAACCAAGAGAGCCATTGACATCAAACCTACTACCTATAGCTACGTTCACCTTAGTACCACCAATGCTAGCTGTGGCAATCTTCTTCCCACTACTTCTTCCATCCGGGCTATTAACCGTTCTGAAGAGCAGGATATTTAACCTGTGAATGTCAATTGCCACTTGAGTGTTCTGCTCGTACGTTGACTGAAAAAATTCTTGCTCTGTAAAATCATTTTCAAAACTGGCCTTCAAAGGTTGGGGGCTAGACTCGTCGTTCTCTCTTGGAAAAGATTTCTGAAGAAAACCAATGAGTTCTACCATTGTTTCCGGATTAAGGATGATGTCCAAATTGTTGACCTGGACACTCATTACCTGCAAAGAGCTGTCCAAGTTCATTGAAGGACATTCAGAGCTTACAAACTGATATTCAAGCTTGATGAGGGATTCTTGATCTTTTAGGTTTATGTTTTCTAAGGAAGTACATTTGTTTTTAAATGTGAATGGACTGGATGGTGACAAATCATTGCCAGATACTGGTGACTGTGCTCTGCTGTCACGAAGACTTCCAGTTGGTGCATCCAAGCAAAGATTCTTGTGGGAAGCCATCAGAAGATCGAAGTCAGAACCATACGTTTGCATAGTGTCCACCATAAGTAGACCATGAACAGTCAAGGCAACGTCTATATCATAAGGTCGTTTTACAAAATTGGCGTTGCAACCAAACACTTTCAGGAGAGAAATGTAACGTCCGCAGCTTTCGACACCAAGCTGCATATAGTTGATTTTAAATTCAGCCAGTAGAAGCTTAGACTCTACAAGAACCTCACGAGTGTGTTGCTCAAGGGTAACAACGCTTTGAGTCAGATTCATCACAGAATCCATTGTCCTTCCATTGCTTTCAGTATCAAAGAATATTTTCTCTTTCCTCAGAAGCATATTATCAGACATTTTAGTTTCAGAACTGGCCAAGCTGGTAAAACACTTTCTCAAAGCGAAGATCTTATCCTCATTGATATGAATTTTTAAATCTGGCAGTGTACCGGAAAGCATTGCCCCCGGGTACTGAGGGTCAGAGGTGTAAATCAATCTACGTTCCAACTGTAGGAGGACGTTAAACTTCTCTACAACGTGAGTTGGGCCAACTTCATTGTCCTGGAGATGCTTCCAGTTGTCTTTCACATGCCCAACCATGATCTGCAAATCTTTAAAAGACAATGAGTATTTCTCATACATTTTATTGCTCAACAGGTAGGCTTCTAGCTGCTCTTCACTCAACTCTGTTCCATTGTAGCTAGCTGTATCAGATCCAGCTTTGGCTTCAGCTTCAGGTGGAGGGCTATTTGTTGGGGTAGCTAGAGGAGTTTTGTATTCTTCATCACTTAAATCGTTTGCTTCCGCAGATAAATGATCCGTGACCTTTCTTTTACCTTGATCTGCTGAGAAAATAAAAATGGAATAAAGGTTACATATTCTCCGTAGATCGAAACTCCTTTGCCTGCTAAGAAATTCTTCAACTACTTATCTACACAAACGGCATGACCAAATATTATGCAGAGTGACCTTTGAACTTCAGAACAGCAGGGAGACTGGTGCTTTAGGTTCTTCTCTAGCTCAGATCATATGTTTGCTATACACCAGCAACAGCCATTTAGCAAAAGGGAGATTCACATCTGTAGGGAACCAAAGTATGCTTGGTTTTAACTACTTTTGCATGAGTTAGGGCTGCCTGAAGAAATATGCAGAGGAGAAGGTGAAGCCACATAAAAATACTGCATGTTTTTATTTTTCTGCATGTAAGAGACTGATGGAGCCATGTAACAATGTGGCCAGTAAGTGTTTTCACACAGATAAGAATGTTGTTGGGACAGACCCAAATACTGTTTACTGGAGTTTCTAAATCAAACACAGTATCCTCCTCATTTCTTAAAGGACAAGTTCACCTATTGCAAAAATGTAAGAAATGCATATTTAATAAATATAAAAATATATGCATTTCTTTAATTTTTGCATTCAAGCCTGGAAAGCATTGCAATTGTTATCACTCACAGCTGTAAAGCTCAGACTTCAGTACACTCTCTCCCAGGCAGAGCTCCGTACTGAGGTATGGAGTTTCAGTTAGGAGAGCTGGGGAAGTACGGCTGAACTTCAAACTGCATTAAACGACCTCATACAGCATACAGCCATCCTCGCTCTAGGTAGATGCGGGAATATGGGCAGCTCTACCTAGAGCGAGGATGGCTGGATGCTGGATGAGGCGATTGAAGTCCAGCCGTCCTTCCACCCATCGCTCCTAACTGAAACTATGTACCTCAGTACGGAGCTCTGCCTGGGAGAGAATGTGAAGAAGCCTGAGCTTTGCAGCTGTGATCGAGTGATCACCATTGCTTTCCAGGCTTGAATGCAAATATTAAAGAAATGCATATTTTTTTATATGTTATTATTTTTGCATTTCTTTAATTTTTGCAAAAGGTGAACTTAGCTTTTAAGATGTACGTTTGCTGGGTTAGCCCAGAAATGTCCTGTTGGACATTTTATAGAGACTTCACTGATGTCATATGCTGGGGAGACAATTTGTAAGGGATGCCAGAATTGACTCATTAAGGAACATTTCTTTTTAATGGCTTCCACACACAGAGAATGTGCAGATTTTAGTCCTATGGCCACATAAGTAGCCACAGATAATCCATACCATTAGAATTGGTTAGCAGAATTCTTCCAAGATCGACCACAACTAAAACGGGATCCTGGCACACAAAATCATCTGGGAAGATCACCTGGGGAGCAGAAATATCAAGGCGTATTGTCCAGCGCCTACTGTTCGCCTGCATAGGAGGAAAAAACAAAGACTTTTAACAAATGAATTTATTTTTTAAATCATTTTGCCATTTTAAAATGAATCTGTGCCCAAAGCGTGCTCATGATAGAATTTACTTATTCTTAAGAAGCAGTAAAAGCACTTTACAGCAAGCCCTTATTCGTCACTGTATCTATAAGCACTCTGAATAAAGACATTTTCAAAGTTTACAACAAAAGCAGTGTTTTTCTATGATAGCAGATCATGGGAGCCTACCAAGCTTCTAACATGATCTAAGCAATAAGGAATTTACCAAAACCAACTCTGGAGTCTTGGTTGTGATCTTTTGAGGATATTTGGGAAGGAGTAACTTCAAATTAAAGTTGAACTCAAGCCTTACCTTCAGTCTTGCATAGTTGTACCGGCTGCTCTACTGTACTGAATATGCTTACTCTGCTTTCACTGCACGTTGAGAGCTTCACACCTTGTGCATTAGAAGCTACAGCAACTCAGATAGAGCCCGTCTTATTTCCTGGCTAGAGAATGTCCAGCATTATCTAGCTCTTTCCTCTCTAGTCTTACTGTCCCTGGCCTGCCCCTTTCATTCATTGGATTTCAGCGCCTTCAGTCATTGAGGCTTAGCATCACATGTGGGTGTTACCTTGGGCAGTATATCTTGGTATTAGCATGACTGCTTCCAAGAGCAAACCCACTGCTCGCATCAGGCGTGAGGGTTCTTGAGAGGAGAACTTAGGCATGGCGCTATGATGTTTTCAGGAAGCAATGTACAGCACCCTGCTGGCCCCTCACACCAGCCACAAAATGCCTGCATTGCAGAGAGACACAGAGAAATCCAGTGATGATGTCACTGGGTCTAAAATAAGCTATGTAATGAAAACTGAAATGTTTTATCTAAAAATTCCATTAGCATGTTTATGAGTAGTGAAAGGAGGAACCAGGGAATTCAAAATATTAGCAGATTAAACTTCAGCTTTAAAAGCAGCTAGGGAAGTCAGGGATGGCGTATTTTACTGCTTGTTAATAATTTGCAATTAGTCTATGGTGGTTATGATCTCATTAAAACCCAATGGTGGATTTTCTGAGTCTTATGTATAAAGGGATATGTGTGTGCAGCCCATATCAGCCAACAAGACAACACTTGGTATTTTTCCAACTGGGGGCTACCAAATGACAGCTGAAATGTGATTGTTTGCTCTAGTGTAGACACAGATGAATCCATTTTCAATCCACAAACGATACTTAAAATGTCTCACAATAAATTCTCCAACCAATAACCGGTCAATGGTTTGCCGGATTTCAGCTTTCGTCTGCATTTTTAGATTATTGTACTGTCTTCTAGCAGCTTCTGCCACTCTTAGCTCCAGCTCTGACTGGTACCCAAAGCCTGCAGTAGGAGGAAGAAGAAAATGTTATTTGTATGGCATGAAAACTCAGCAAATTCCAAACAAAGACCAAGAATTTGAGACGTTTTTAAAATATCCACAATATCAACCTGTTTTAGGTTTAGTTTACACTAGAGATCCACTTTAAGTTGTTCTTAAAAACTTGCGGGAAATAGTAGCGTAGCATCATACCTCAAAGTTCTTTGTTTACTGTCTTCCTTATTCTTTTGTCATTTCAGGAAAATTGTCCATCAGAACTTTAATAAACCTAATTTCCTCCTATCTGGTGGCTTCACTGCCTTCCAGGGTCTTCCTCGAGCAACCCTGACCTAAGCGCTCCTGGTCAGGATGTGTATTATATGCACAAACTGCACAGATGCCCTGAATTCCAAACCATTCCCCTGCTTTTTTCTAGAAGGGCGTTAAACAGGGGCCCAGTTCTATGAAATCTCCATAGATGATGTCCATTCTACAGTATTTGCTGGCGTATAAGGCGACTGGGCGTATAAGACGACCCCCTAATTTTTCTGGTAAAACATACGTTTTGGGCTATACTGGTCGTATAAGACGAGTATAGCCCAAAATAATGTTTAAATACACCCACTAACCTCCATGGCGGTATTCCCGAGTGTGGCTCGGGGTTAATTTTCAGTACCATAAGCGATAACCCCCCGAGCCACACTCGGGAATACAGTCTCTTCCCTTGTCCACAATCCCGGCTGTGTCCTCCATCTTCCGTCCCTTGCGAGCCAATCACGGCGAGCAATTTACACCTCTTCCAATCCGAGCAGGCTTTTTATTCATTAATAGAATACATCGCTCGCCGTGATTGGCTCAGCTCGGTATACTGTATGTAGCCGAAGCTACCGTACATACAGTATTACCGCACATCCAGCGGGCTGACATTGTATACCCGGCGTATAGGACGACCCCCGATTTTCGGGGGATGTTTTTAAGTCTAAAAACTGGTCTTAACACCGGCAAATACGGCACATCAAAAGGTAATAGGAGTTATACTGTCTGCCTATAGTACTTGCATGTGCATTAGCTTTCTGAGACATGAAAACCAGATGCATAGTCACACACAGTTCACACTCCCCGACTAAAATTTCAGAGAAGCGATACAAAGGGAACTTCAATAAAGCTAAAATAACAATGTGGGGCACAAAAAATAGCATTATATTACTTACAAGTTGTGTGAAGCTCAACATAGGGTTCAATACTACGTTCATCTATGACTCCAAAATGGATCTGCTTCTAGTAACTCAGACAATTAGGGGGGACATTTAGAACAGAGAGCAGCTATCGCTAGCAACTATACTCCACAATACTACCCCCTACTGCCTGCATTTATGGGCTTACTCATAAAATGACGGCTCCATTTGGGAGAGAGACAGGTCATATGACCAGGCCCATTTCCCAACTTTTTTCACCCTTTACTCGTTTTAAAAGTGCTCAGATGGCTTTGGGGTCTTGAAGACAGAAGAGCGCTATGCACATTTGAAAAACACATTGTTGTGCTTTACAAAGGCATTGAGTGTTTTGTAAAGTAGTGGTATGGCCACGGTAAGGCCATACCGCTGGTTTCCAATGAGCCCCTTAGTTAGAAACAAATACTCGCGAGATGGTATTACACACCAGACCACTTGCACGCTATGCATCCTAATATCTCAGCAAGATGCTGGCGAGGATGTGGAGATAATGGCACACATGCCCACATTTGGTGGCACTGCCCTAAGATAAAAAAAAAAATTCTGCATACAAGTCACAGACATTATATCCTCTACTACAGGCATAACCACACCGATGTACCCATGGCTATGCCTGCTACATTTCAGTGAAAAATTATATTAAAAAGAGTACAGAAACTCCCCCACACACACTTTTTTTTTGTTTTGTTTCTATTTCATTATTTCATGTGTTTGGAAGTATGTGTAGCATGGTGTCTTCTTAAAATTAATAAAAGATTGAATGATAAAAAAGAAGCAAATATCGGTTTCTGAAGAAACAGCCGGATTGATGGGAAAGATTGAAAGGATACCAAAAACCTTACCTGAACTGTGAACTTTCCCCTTGTAAAAGAAGTCTGCCACTTTCGTTATTGCTTGTGGATTGTAGATGATATTCAGAGGTCTTGTGCTGACTTCTAGCCGCCTCTCAAACACACTGTGTATTGGATTTCTCTCATACAGCATTTTAAATACGGGGTTATCCCCAGAAGTGGCTGTAAAACAATCAAATCAGAATCACATAACAAAAAAAAAAAAAACATGCCTCTATTGTGACTCTCTGTAGTTAGGTTTGGTATCTTCAGAAATGCCAACACTCTAATACACACAAAGTTAAAGCCCAACTCCAGCCAAAGCTTTTCATTTAAATTTTTATATGGGGCAGCGAGTGTCATCCAATCAGTGTCGGTGAAAGCCTCTGTGAAAAGTTCATTGCAGTCCTTGTCCCCATTGGGGAGATTTGTCCTCACTTCACGGACATAAGTCAATACTGATAGTAATATGAATTAGAGGTGCACCGAAATGGAAATTCCAAAACCGAAATAAAAAAACTGTCAGGCCGAAACCAAAAATGTTTTTTATTTTAATTTTTTCTAATTTTTTTAATATTTAATATTTATTTTACCCTGTTATAAATGAACAGGGATCCTCTATACTGAGTGTTCCTGTTCATTCATAACATGAGGACAGAGTATGCTTACTATAACTACAATCATGAATGAGCAGGAGGTGATGTAGATCACTTCCCATTCATTAAAAATTGAGGATATAGTCAACATGCAATGTCCTCAATTATCTACAAACACTCAGCGATCACTGATCACTGACTGCTTGTACCCGCTCTCCTTCCTGACACGCTGCCACAGGAGGTTGAGCGAGTGGTGCGGGAGGAGAGCTCAGCCAATTGTGACAGTGCGGGCTGTCTCCGCCCTCGCAACGCTCAGCCTCCTATCACAGTCCGGCAGATCGCTGTGGGGGCGGAAGCACATACTCTATCCTCAATTATTTACAAACACTCAGCGATCACTGATCGCTGAGTGTTTGTACTCGCTCTCCATCCCGACACGCTGTCACAGGAGGCTGAGCGAGCAGAGCGGGAGGAGAGCTCACCCTCCTGTGACAGCGCTGCAAGCTGCTTCCACCCACACCGCTCTCCTCTGATCTGTGACAGGAGGCTGAGCAGTGTGGGGAGGAGAGACACTGGCCGCTCACAGCGCTCTCCTTCCCGCAGCGCTCGGCCGGCTGTCACACCTTCTCTCCTCCCCGCTGGGACACAGAGCAGCACCCAGCGGGGAGGAAAGAAAGCAGCGGCAGAAAAATTGCACTTTCGGCATTTAGCCAAAAGTGCCATTTTCGGGCCAATATGTTTCCGCGGCTGATATATCGGTGCATCCCTAATATGAACTCTTCCCTACTCTATCCCAAACAAAAAGATGGCTACAGATGATCTTTGATTTAGTTATTTTATAAGACTTCTTGTTTTGAAGCACACACATTATGAAGAAAAACAAAACCACAAGGGCTATAAACAATCTGAACTCCTTCCGAAAGGGCAGTAATAGGGAACTTACAGCTGCTGGGACTGAGGAAGTCAGCTGGTCCCGTGTGCACACTGGATGGTTGGGATAAACAGGACACTTCCTTTTGCTGAAACAAAAGAAGATATGAGAAACAAAAAGTAATTAAATGTGGAGAAAAAAAAAAAACATCAGCAAGGAGTAAAGACGTGTTCACTTCAATCAAGAACACTTCCTAAAATGAAAAAACTAAAAAAACTGGGCCTGGATAATATGGAGACAAGACAACATGGCAGGATAGCTAAGCATTACACTCTAATGCAGCCATTCTTAACCAGGTTCCTCCAGCTAGGGGTTCCTTGGGAAGAGACCAAAAGACACTATCTCCTGTCTTCACTAACTTTTCCACTGACCACCATTGTAGGAGGTCACTTCTCCAATGCCCTCCATTGTAAAATATGACTTCTACACTGACCTCCATTGTGAGAGGTGACATAAACTGACCACCTTTGTAAGAGAAGACTTTTACACTGACCTCCATTGTAAGAGAAGACTTCTACACTGACCTCCCTTGTAAGAGAAGACTTCTACACTGACCTCCATTGTAAGAGAAGACTTCTACACTGACCTCCATTGTAAGAGAAGACTTCTACACTGACCTCCATTGTAAGAGAAGACTTCTACACTGACCTCCATTGTAAGAGAAGACTTCTACACTGACCTCCATTGTAAGAGAAGACTTCTACACTGACCTCCATTGTAAGAGAAGACTTCTACACTGACCTCCATTGTAAGAGAAGACTTCTACACTGACCTCCATTGTAAGAGAAGACTTCTACACTGACCTCCATTGTAAGAGAAGACTTCTACACTGACCTCCATTGTAAGAGAAGACTTCTACACTGACCTCCATTGTAAGAGAAGACTTCTACACTGACCTCCATTGTAAGAGAAGACTTCTACACTGACCTCCATTGTAAGAGAAGACTTCTATACTGACCTTCATGGTAAGAGAAGACTTCTACACTTATCACTATTGTAAGGGGGTCACTATAATTTTCCATTGCCTGTAATATATATATAAAATGTATTATGACTATAACATAAACCTAATTCTTTTATTTAAAAGTCTCTAAAACCTAGTAATCATTTAATCCACCACAAGCTGTAGGTCAAACTATTTTAGTGGTGGTTCCTCAAAACCTATTTAAAGGGTTCCTCTATGGTAAAAAGGTTGAGAGCAGATGCTCTGATGTTTCTCCATTCTAGCACTCTTGTATAGAGAAAAGCTAGCCTTTTAAAGTGCATTACGGGTATCGGTTGCACTTTACCTGATTGATCAGTTTTGATAACTATTTCTTTGCTGCTGTTGGTGTCATTAAAAAAAGATGATGCAAATATGAGCCTCCTGTCTTTATTGAAATTCCAATTATCCTGGCACCAAGGCTAGAATCATTTACAATTTATTTGTATGTATCAACACAGCCCCACAGAGACCTAAAGTAGAATAGCAATCATATGACCACCAATTAAAACAATTATAAAGAGTACATTCAGCTATTTCAAATGCTGTTAAATCACATGCACTCTACACTGCTTGCTTGTTCTGAGAAGGGTTCATGATAACTATTCATTGATTGGCACAATGACACCTGGATCAGGAAAAATAAGCCCGTGGAAAAACTGCAGCTACTGCTGACACCCTTTGATCTTCTGAGGTGGATTCTCCCAAGCAATCACTAGGACACCTCTTCGGTTGGAAGTGCTGGTATTACAAAAGTTGATATTTAAGAAAAAACATTTCCTAAGGAAATTCTGCAGTCGGATCTTCCAACCACCATGTCCCATGTTTGCTAGCCTTAAATGGGAAAAAATAAACTTTACTTGGAAAGAGACGAACAAACACCAAATTACCTACAGCATTAGGGTAGACAAGGTTGGGAAATATGGTCCCGTGTGTTGCTAGGTCTCGGAGGAACAATCCATCTAGCTGAACCAGCAGAAGGGAAGAATCTCTCCAGGGCAAAGCGTCCAACCTGACTGTCATCCCTGAAAATTTAATAATAATAATACGGTAATTAATTGCAAACATGCAACTGCACCTTAGAGGGGTTGACCAAGCTAACCAATCAGGCGGTTGCTTACATTCCAAACCTGCACTTGAAATACAACAGATGGAATCTGCATGCTTGTTCGGTAACCCATTGAGGCCTACATGCCCAGGCCAAATTTAGAAGGGCCAGCATGCAGTGCACCAAAGCATAGGAAAAAAGCACCTCTGCTCCACAGCTTTAGCAGTGTAAAGACAGCCAGGTGCTCAACGGCAGCAAAGTGTACGCTGGTCAGCATGTAGTGGTTTACTCTGTGCTTTGCTAATACGCTGACAAATTTGCATATCTGAATATTTTTTTTGTTGTTGTTGTTTAAGAAGATTTTTATGTTTTATACTTTTAATAAAAGCCCTGCTCCATTTTTAGCACAGCCTGACAACTGCACAAAAATATAGTTGTGTCATTATATTAATAATGTCATTGTGTCTGGCAATCACAATATTAAACAGAAGCATACTACCATTTTCTGGCTGATGTACCATATGCAGGCTGAAGACGTATTTTGTGAATTAAAGATAAACTCCAGGATAAGCAAATATTGTCTAAATACAAAAGGCATGTGTATTCTTTCATTTGGTGCCCGCCATATGTATTTATAGCCTATACAGTGGTACCTCGGTTCACGAACGCTTCGGTTCGCGAACAATTCTGTTCACGAACAGGAAGTTGAGCAAAATTTTGCTTCCATTCGCAAACTCCGCATCTTCCCCGCTCCGACACGTGGTTGTGGCTTCCTCTAGTCGAGATTGCGGTCTGATTACAGTTTGATTCGGTTCGCGACCAATTCGGTTTGCGACCAGAATGGTGGAACGAATTAAGTTTGTGAACCGAGGTACCACTGTATTTATTAAGATGAAAGCGTTTGTGTCAAGCGGACACCCGATTGTTAATGGAGACTGAAGCTGCAGAAACAGCCTTGTTGTATGACTAACAGCCGTGCAGCGTCAGCTATCAAAAGTGATAATGCTAGCTATGAAAATGAAGAATGTGGATTAACATACCCATAGATTGGGGCACTATGCAGAAGAATATCGATACACAAATTGTGGGGGCCAAGGGATTAGGAAATGGTGTAAAAAGATTGCTTGCCTGAGAATTCCAGCTGTATGAAGGCAGTCTCCCGCAAGAGGGTGCTGTTCTTCTCCTTGTGTAGGAGAGTAATGGTGCCACCCTCTAGCTGAAAGTTGAGTTTTGCAAATACGTGATCTCTTTTAGTGAATGTGTTCAAGTTTGCAGTGTCAGAAGTGGGGTCAAAGAAGTCATCAGCTCCTGTAGCAAGAAATTATATAAATGTTATTAACAATGACATCATTAAAGTGACATTAAAGGACACATTCCCGCCCCCCAAGCTAATGTAAGGACTTAAATGATGCCTCTTTATACGATCATCTTCTTCTTTCCTGTAGTTTTCAGATGTCCCTCCAGCACTGGCGCCGGTCTCAGATCCAGCGCCGACTCCTCTCTCCTTCTGGCATTTCCTGTCCCACAGAGTCTGTCCGGGTGAACGCTGCTGCATTTGCTTACCTTGCGTCTCTCCTCGTCTCCCGGCCGAAGAACTGAACTGTGCATGCACCTGCCCCATGATCCTTTGTGGTTGCCCGAGAATTTCGGACGGGAGAGCGCAGCAGAGACACAGATACGTTTTAACCCTTTGGAGACGGTTTAAAAAAAAAAATGTTTTGCATATATTTACGTCTTGCTAGCAATAGATATATGCAAAAAAGAGGGAGGGTTTAATAACCCTTTACCTTTCATAGAACTAAAGTTAAATTAAGTCAATTGACCTGATTGACTTCAGATACATTGGATGACTAGATCACATTAGGCACAGTGGACACTCCCAGCCATTGGCTCTTGGGAATGATCAACAACATAAGTTTGAAAACCTTGTCTAATTGTTACTTTAACCCCAACATATCCAAGCATATAAAATCGCCTGGCCCCCTTACCTAGGCGTCATTCCTTCACTGTATTTATAAATAAACTCATGGTTGTTACCCAGGCAGGACTTTAAACATACTCATGGTAGACCCAGTGATCCAGAGGAGCTCCATCCATCCAGCCCCATCCTTAAGAAATAATGAGCCTATGGTAACCATGTGCATTGGGCACAGAACCAGGCTAGAACGGTCTTTATGCAAAGGCTGTGTGAATACTGGACAGGACTGCGCAGTAAAGATCCACACAGCAGGGGTTAAAGGCAAGTATACTGATATAAGGGGTTACACAAAGGGGGTAAGCTTTAAATGATAACTTGACTGAAAGCCACGTGCTTTCCCAACTGGACATCTGGAACAAGCTAACATTTTACCATAAAACAGCAAATAATGAACCCACCCAGGATATCTTCCGGGTCCCAGGACTTCTGTTCTTGTTGCTGTTCTTGTGATAGTCTCTCTATATCTTCTCTGGCTTCCTGTGTATTCCCATACCAACCTCCCCAGCCTGGAAACCAGGACTGAAGGTACTGGAGCATTCCACTGCTCTGGCTGCGAGTTGGAGTGGACGCAGGGGAACTGCCGGCTGAATCAGCCATCGGCTCTCTCATACTCTGTAAAAAAACACAAGGATTTTGAATAAAAGACACAATCTGCACAATTATAGAATTAAAGCTGAAGTGTAATGTGCGCATATAATACCTACTTGTTTTCTCTTCTCCCCTGATAAATAAGCAATTACAAATTTTCAATCATTTCATTTTTAAGAAATACCTTTTTTGAGACCCGGTGATGTCATCACTGGGTCTTCTGCTGGCCTTTTCTCCAAAGTAAAGCTGGCCATACACCTATAGATTATCTGCAGATTTTCTATGGCCAGATGGAAAAAGTGCAAAAGATTCCTCCATCTACGCTCAACTGTGTGGATGGAGGAATCTCCCACTGGGCCAAGTTTCAATATCTTGCTAGTCGGCCCCGCTGGCTCTCAAAATATTTAAAACAATGACTGCATCCAACCAAGATTGTTCAGGTATTTTGACCGTCAGCGGGGCCGACTAGCAAGATACTGAAGCTTGGCCCAGCGGGAGATTCCTCCATTCACACAGTATAGAGTAGATGGAGGAATCTGTGGCACTTTTTCCATCTGACTATAGAAAATCTGCAGAAAATCTATATGTGTATGGCCAGCTTAAGAGTTTGGTGGGAGGAGCTGGCAGGTTTCTGTAAATATCACAGAGCCCAGCTTCAACTGTTATACAGTGGGGCAAAAAAGTATTTAGTCAGCCACCAATTGTGCAAGTTCTCCCACTTAAAAAGATGAGAGAGGCCTGTAATTGGCATCATAGGTAGACCTCAACTATGAGAGACAAAATGAGAAAACAAATCCAGACAAATCACATCGGCTGATTTGGAACCAATTTATTTGCAAATTATGGTGGAAAATAAGTATTTGGTCACCTACAAACAAGCAAGAGTTCTGGCTCTCACAGACCTGTACCTTCTTCGTTAAGAGGCTCCTCTGTCCTGCACTCATTACCTGTATCAATGGCACCTGTTTGAACTTGTTATCAGTATAAAAGACACCTGTCCACAACCTCAAACAGTCACACTCCAAACTCCACTATGGTGAAGACCAAAGAGCTGTCGAAGGACACCAGAAACAAAATTGTAGACCTGCACCAGGATGGGAAGACCGAATCTGCAATAGGCAAGCATCTTGGTGTGAACAAATCAACTGTTGGAGCAATAATTAGAAAATGGAAGACATACAAGACCACTGATAATCTCCCTCGATCTGGGGCTCCACGCAAGATCTCACCCCGTGGGGTCAAAATGATCACAAGAACGATGAGCAAAAATCCCAGGACCACACGGGGGGACCTAGTGAATGACCTGCAGAGAGCTGGGACCAACGTAACAAAGGCTACCATCAGTAACACACTACGCCGCTAGGGACTCAGATCCTGCAGTGCCAGATGTGTCCCCCTGCTTAAGCCAGGAAATGTCCGGGCCCGTCTGAAGTTTGCTAGAGAGCATTTGGATGATCCAGAAGAGGATTGGGAGAATGTCATATGGTCAGATGAAACCAAAATAGAACTATTTGGTAGAAACGCAACTCGTCGTGTTTGGAGGAGAGAGAATGCTAAGTTGCATCCAAAGAACACCATACCTACTGTGAAGCATGGGGGTGGCAACATCATGCTTTGGGGCTGTTTCTCTGCAAAGGGACCAGGACGACTGATCCGTGTACAGGACAGAATGAATGGGGCCATGTATCCTGAGATTTTGAGTGCAAACCTCCTTCCATCAGCAAGGGCATTGAAGATGAAACGTGGCTGGGTCTTTCAACATGACAATGATCCCAAACATACCACCCGGGCAACGAAGGAGTGGCTTTGTAAGAAGCATTTCAAGGTCCTGGAGTGGCCTAGCCAGTCTCCACATCTCAACCCCATAGAAAATCTTGGGAGGGAGTTGAAAGTCCGTGTTGCCCAGCGACAGCCCCAACACATCACTGCTCTAGAGGAGATCTGCATGGAGGAATGGGCCAACATACCAGCAACAGTGTGTGCCAACCTTGTGAAGACATACAGGACACGTTTGACCTCTGTCATTGCCAACAAAGGATATATAACAAAGTATTGAGATGACCTTTTGATATTGACCAAATACTTATTTTCCACCATAATTTGCAAATAAATTGGTTCCAAATCACATTTTGTCTCTCATAGTTGAGGTCTACCTATGATGCCAATTACAGGCCTCTCTCATCTTTTTAAGTGGGAGAACTTGCACAATTGGTGGCTGACTAAATACTTTTTTGCCCCACTGTATGATATAACACATCACCAGCATCCCTTTTCACGTGTATCCCTGCTGGCAACTGGGTGCTGTGGACTGCAGATGTGCAATCTGCTTACTCGTTGCTTGATTAAAAGGAGAACTATGGGGTTAGGCCTTTTCCCCATAGTTCTCCAAAGGGTAACCGGGCGACTTAAACTAGCATAATTCTCATAATTCACCTTTAAACTCTACTAGAGCTATGAAAGGTAATAATGAAGGCATAAATGTTTGTGGACAAATCTTTTGACGTAAACTCATGTTAAAACTGCAAAAAAGGTCATGTGTTTAACACTTTTGCTGTCAGAGCTGTTATTACATTTTTTGCACACTTTAGCCCTGAAGATTAAACCCCACCCCCGAATATATTTTCTGAAAGTCAAGACATTGGAAGATAACATTATGGTAGTTGCAATGTTTTATGTTGCGTGATATTTGCGAAACGGTTTATCAAACCCAAATTTTCAGTATAAAATGCACTAAAGTTAATTTTAGCGCACACACACAGTTACTCAATTGTTTGGTAAAATATAAAAGATGAGTTTGCTTCAACTAAATAGATACTAAACACGTCAAGCTCTAAAATTGCGCACGGCCATGAAACGCCAACAAAGTTTGGCATCCAAAATTGTCAATAAGCGACACTTTAAAAGCCTCTACAGGTCATCAGTTTAGAATTATCTGTGAATGATGGCCCTAGAATTATTACTCTCACTCCAGTTGTGTGAGGCGATACCTAACATGTGTGCTGAATTGCTGTTCTCATACATAGGCGTACCCAACGCATACATTTATGCTCGGATTTCCATTATGCAGGAAAACATTTTTATTTTTTGTATATGCAACTTAAATTTTTTCAACACTTATATTTATTGCTCTCACATGAAGGCAGCAATTTCATGGAGTTTAGAAGTAATATAGAATTAAAGATGACGTATAATGTATGCATACTATTCATTCACTTCTACCAGAAAGCGTTTTTTAGATATAAACACACTCCTGGCTGCTATAGCAGCTGGGACTGCGTTTAAAAGCCAATGCAAGCCTTAGGTGGCAGCGAAAGGGTTAGAGACTTTGTTGTCACATTAAAAGATGTGTAAACAAACATAAGTAAAAAATTAAAAGTAATACTTTTCCAGTATTGCCTCCGGTGAATCCAACCCATGTAGAAGTGTCCTTTTCTTGTACTCTATAGAAGGACACTGGAAGTCTTTCACTTTTGGGTTATACTGCCCCCTACAAGAAGAATGGACGCAGGCCAACCATAAAACTGTAGGCCAGCCCAGGATAAGCCCTCCTACTACCAGAATGCCTCACTTTGACACAAAGCAGTACTAGAAGCATGGTCATAAACAGAGAGGAAAGGGGCTTGTTTTCCTCAATAGACTCTAAGAAAAGGACTTAACGGCAAGTACAAATGCCTTAATTATCTTTCTCGTTCAGAAGAACGCAAAATTCTTTCACATTTGGAGTGTCCAAAAGAAGTCCAACTGAGGGGTGGACAACACAGCAAACAAACGCTAAGTGGCCCACTAAAACAGAAAAAATTGTGCCAACAAAAATAGGTTAGTCTTTTAGAAAGCAGAGCTAAGGAAAAGACATCTACTCTCCAAAGACAATAGCAAAAACTGATGCATGCTGGTGGTAGCAGAGGTTATCCTTCTGTGGGTGGTAGTATAACCTAAAGGTGAAAGACTTTCCATGTCCCTCAATGGACAAGAAAGAAAACCTCTTTATATCCAAAACAAATGAAGATAGTAGTGAATATAAAATGTAAAGGTCTACTAAAAAAAGAAGGTAGCTAAGGCCAAAAAAGTATTCAGTAAAAGGATAGAGAGCAGAATACACATGTGAAAGCAAAATGCTGCAGATGACCCAATTAGCTCACAGCAGCGCTAACAGATCATGCTGACAAAGTGAATTTCCCTTTGACCTCACAAGTTCTGACCTCTGCCAGTTCATGATGCCTCCTAAAGCGATCATGGACTTGCTGCTGTAAAAGTTTCAGTTCTTCAATAGATTGTTCTTCCTCAATCCGGTCCAGTTCTGCCTGAAAAGTGACATTTTGGAACAAGATCAGACAAACGAACAAACACAATGCCTAGGGACAGAATACTGTATTGTGTGTTAAGGTGGCCAAATACCGGTAAGTATTAATTTGTGATCTATAGGTACGTGCGATTGCAGACAAGCAATTTATCATTGATTGAAAAAAAACAACACATACGGTATCACCTGAAAATATGATCTATCAAACTATCTATTAAAAATGATCACTTTATTGTTTTGTATTACGGTTAGTTGTCTGTCTGAGTCACATGCAAATATTCATTCGAATTAACAGAAATGATCAATTAAAAATAAAAACTGTTGTAATCGATCAAAAGCTCACTTAAACAATTGAGGATCTGTACTTTACAATTTTTATTCATTTAGATCATTTTGGTAGCATCTGATGATCAACTGAATGATTATATTGATACATGTATGGCCATCTTTAGTTTATTCAGTTCAAAGGGACCCGTTTCTGAACAAAAAAAACATGTGCGCCTGAGCTCCCCCATGTGACAAAGCCTGGACACCCTTAATAACATGGTCACAGGGTCTCCGGTGACGAGGAGCATACAAGAGCTTCATAAAGTCTGTTTTACTGTCTGTTAGATTTGCAGTGAGATAAGAAGAAATATCAAAGTACATCCACTGTGCAACACTACAAAGAAGGAAACAATTTGTATATGTAATAAACAGATTTGGCTGCCCCCATGTACAAATATAACATACTACAGGCAGTCCCCGTGTTACGAACAAGATAGGGTCTGTAGGTTTGTTCTTAAGTTGAATTTGTATGCAAGTTGGAACAGGTAAATTTTTTAAAGTGAAATTAAAGGCTAATTTTTTTTCCCTCCCCCCAACGTTAGTGTAAGGACTTACCTTCAAATGATGCCTCTTAATCCGATCAACTTCTTTTTTAGTGTAGTTTTCAGATGTCCCTCCAGCACTGGTGATTGTTTGAGATAGCATAGGGAAGGGTTAACCCCTTGTAAAGTATGTTTTGCTATGTGTGCCCCTTTTCAGAAGATTTCACCTCACTTGTATCCCTGTGACAATTGGATTTTTAAAATTTTTGGTTGTTATGGAAACAAGGATTGGTGATAAAGCTTCAGTGGAGACAACTTTTTCCCATGATAACTGTTACAGGAATGAATTTCCCTTCCTAGGGGTTGATTTCCTCTCACTTTCCTGTTGTCTCAGATCATTCTAATGAGGATACAGACAGCAGCAAAAACCTCTCAGTGAACCGGAAGAACAGGTGGGCATCCCCTCGTCTGCAACTCTAATAAGAGCCAACTTCCTGTAATGTAAATACAGTACTAGGAACCAGACCCAAAAAGGTGCGCACTCCTCGTCGGCAGGAGTGCGGTAGCATTACAACTACTGAAATGCTGCGCAGTACACTTTGGCTGCAGCCTGGGACCCCCTGCTGTACAGTAATAGCCCCCGTTTGTAAGTAAGTCGGATGTTTGTAACTCGGGGACTGCCTGTATACACAGAAATAAGATTTGTACTACATTAAGACACATCAACCAAATATTACATGAAGTTGATGTAGGCTGCCATTGTCTTCTTCCTTATGAAAAACAATAACCGGAAAAGCAACTTTGTTGAAACAAAAGGACATCTGCATTTGTAGCTCCTTTTGAGTTCTATATCATTTCCCACAGCAAAATAGAGCAGGCTTTTCAGAGTACTATATGGGGGATAGCAGCCTCTTGCAAATTGTGATTTTCTCTGCAGCTTTCCTTCTAACCATTGTTTCCTGACCTCTGTAGACTGCAGGTTACCAAGATAAGTGGTATGAATCATTTTAGTTTAAGTTTGCTCATAGTTTTAAATGACAAAGGGGCATTACTTACATGGATACAATCATGGCAAATGCATACAGACTCAGGTGGGAGTGCCTGACTTGCAGAATCATAGGCTTGGGAACATGGATTCTAAAAGTACCAGGTTACCAGTAACCTGAGAATTTTAAAGAATGGGGTGACCTGGTTTTCCAAGCAATGCCAATATAAAAAGCATTATCCTTAAGTGGCTAGGTTGTATCCCTGTATGTATTTCCAAGCTAAACATTTTGAGTTGGACTGCAATGAACCTTTAGATCTTTGCTGCCATAGGTAAAGGAAACCGGGATCTGTTTTCAGAGCATATAAGAGAATCTCTGTTAAAAAAAGGCACCATGGAAATAAAGGTTCATTACAGTCAAACTCAAATGTTGAGCTTGAAAATATCTACAGGCATACAACCTAGCCAACTAAGGATTATGCATTTTATCTTGGCATTGCTTGAATACACCAGATCACCCCATTCTGTTTTTCTTGTGTGGTAACATTAAAACTAGGAATTTATGAAAATATCCAGTTGAAACTATGCAAGATTTACACCCAATCAATACCTCATCTTCAGCTGCTAACGGTATTCCCTTCAGTCGACTGTAGTGTTTATCACAATAAAACACAGCATCTCGAGCTCGGTGGAGAAGGAAATCCAGGTTTAGTCGGCTCCTCTGCTCTCGGATCTCAGACAAGTTTGTGTTTAGTGCAAAAAGCCACCATTCTCTACAGCTGTCACACAGAAGGGAAAACAAGGATGTCAGGTACTCGCATACAGAGGAAGTTTTTTTTAACTATTTTACTGGACAATACTAATAATTAATTGATCATTTAAGGATTCTTACTTCTTTATCACTGGGACCTTCGGTCTCCATTTTCTGTACTTCATCTGTCTTTCTTTTCTTTTAAACTCGTCAACAAACTCCATAATTTGTTGATATTGTGCCTAAATAAAAAATAAATGCCTCAATAAACTGCGGTTGGACCCTTTCTGCACAGAAACAAGTTACAAGGTGGCCTAAACGGGCACTACACTGAAAATGGAATGATGGAGTGTGGAAGACAAGTGTAGTGTGTGGCTGCCATTCTGCCATTTGGAAGCCCAAGCCACTCTTCTTTCAGGCTACCAGAGTATTGGAGTCTCCCTAGAGACTTGTAAAGGCCCAGCATGTATAGGAGAAAGATAATAGTTCATACTGAAGCTTTCAAAGGCTCTGCCAGGTCTCTGAGGGATCTTTCGTTTTCTAACTGCCTAGAAAGCCCCAAATCCTTGGGAGCCGAGGAATGCAAACGCCATCTATAGTTCGGAACCAGGCCCCTTTTCTTGAACCAGAAAGCCACCCATTAGAGTGATGGAAAAAGTATGAGGCATAGGAGGATGCAAGAGGACAAGCCAGGTACCTAACATAGTAGACTGTCAAAATTTGCATACCAGGGATTTTGGGTTCTTGCCTTTTTTAATAGCAAACCTGGTGTAGCATGTAGGAACCTGAAGATTTAAAACAAAAACAAACAACAACAAAAATACTTACCTGCAATGGACAGCTTATATAATGACAAGGAACACATAAAACTATGACTAAAACCATAAAACTGTGTAACTGCTATGCAACTTCCTGAAACTTCCTGGACCAGTGCAGTACTTGCATACTCCAGCATTTTATAATCTGTTCCTAGGTGCAGGGTTGCACAAAATGGAACAGGAAGGTGGGTTTGTATCAGGTTGGACAGTAGTCACTTCAAAAAAGTCTTAAACTGTTGCAGCCCCTCTCCCTTCTATCAGTTTGTGCCAGCAGAGATCGGTTTCACATTGTAGACTCACTAACCATGCACTACAGTATTCCTTTTAAGTGTTAGCCATGGTAACATGACAGGTGAAGAACATTTACTACCCTACCTGAGACAAGGTAAGCGGTATAGTCTTGAGACATATGTCACACTCTATTCGTGGCTGTTGCCGCGATCTCAGAGGCTCTTTAAAACAGTTTCTCTTAAACAGAGCCGATGTGCATACTGGCTCCAGGATGTATTGGTGCTCGCGGTTTTCCATGCTTTTATCCATGGCTTCCTAAAAAACACAGGTGAGTTGAAGATTATTAAAACGCAGGATTTAAAGTGTTTATGAGGCAGAGCTTAGTTTATATCCAGAGGGTCATGTCCCCAGTATAACACCATTGACAAGCACATAACCGGTGTGTGAATTGGCTCTTGACAGTGTTTTGAAAACATTCTGACCTGTTTTTTTAAGCCTCCAAGTTTTCAGCCGGGATAAGTAAATGCCAAAATTAAAGTGGTTTAAAGCTTTAGGAAGCCCTAAGCTTTAGATGGATCACAGGGCCACTAGCATAAAAGGTGAGTAATATTAAAGAGCAATGGCAGGCAGTAAAACTGATGGACCGATAATGATATGTAGGAAACATTGCCATTATGTCACACAGATTGTCTTCAATAAAATGTGATATTTTTTTTGTAGATCGCAACATCAGTGGAGCTGGGGTATGAATAATTTCTAAATGAATGTGGGGGGTGGATTAGACACCAGAGACATTCGAGGTGTAGAATCAATAGAATTCTTAAAGAACCAAAAGACCAACACGCAGAAGATCGTATGCAGTAGTTTGCCCTGTATACAAGCAGTGCTAGGATGAAAAGCTAAAACCCTAGGCAGGTAGGCATAGTAAATTGTACATATCTACATATTGACATCTCCTTACCTGTAGCTCCCCTGGAGGTAGGTTACCCAATAAAGTGCTGCTTACATCCCAGTAAATACTGAAGTCCTCAACTTCCAGTTGTTTCTTCCTCATTAACTTCTCCACCTAGATCAGAGATGGCAACATCAACAATAAACTTTTTACTGTAAACTCCCCAACAAAGACTAGAGGCCACCACATAATATTGGTGGAGAATTTTTTTTACCACAAAGGGCGTAGGGGCTTCTTTTCAATCAGAGCGGTTAAATTCTGAAACTCACTGCCACAAGCAGTGGTATCAGCAGAGAATATTGATTACAGGCAGTGCCCGAGTTACAAACATCCGACTTACATACGACCCCTACTTACAAACGGGGGCTATTACTGTACAGCAGGGGGTCCCAGGCTGCAGCCAAAGTGTACTGCGCAGCATTTCAGTAGTTGTAATGCAACACACTCGTGCCGACGAGGAGTGCGCGCTTTTTTGGGTCAGGTTTCTAGTACTGTGTATGTACATTACAGGAAGTTGGCTCTTTTTAGAAGTGCAGACGAGGGGTGTCCGCCTCTTCTTCCGGGTCACTGAGGTTTTTACTGCTGTCTGTATCCTCATTAGAAAGATTTAATCTCACTTCCTGTCCTTGAGACAACAGGAAGTGAGAGGAAATCTACCCCGAGGCAGGGAAATTCACTCCTGTAAGAGTTGTCATGGGAAAAAGGTGTCTCCACTGAAGCTTTATCACCAATCCTTGTGTCCAATTTTCAAAATCCAATTGTCACAGGGACAGAAAGTGAGGTGAAATCTTCTGAACAGGGGCACACACAGCAAAACAAACGTTACAGGGTGTTAGCCCTTCCCTATGCTATCCAAAACTAAACTTACATACAAATTCAACTTAAGAACAAACCTACAGAACCTATCTTGTTCGTAACCCAGGTACTGTCTATAATTCAAAAAACAATTAGATACCATCCTAAGAATCTAACATACAGGGGTACAGGTACTCTTAAATACTAAGACTACACAGGAACTCATATACACACACATGCACGCACAACACACACAGACACACAAAGGTTGAACTTGATGGACTTGTGTCTTTATTCAACCTCAAATACCATGTAGAAACAAAACAGATTGCAGTGAACAGAGAGCATAGGATGATGAAAATTTGGTAGAAATGGCCCTTAGATTGTTTCAAAACAATGTATTAAAAGTCCCCCTTAAAAAGCGATCACAATATAGCATTGATTACTTACTGGCTCATGACTGGCGTTTTGGACAGACACATTTTTAATGCAGACTCCAAAGGCAAATGGCTGTGATGGATCAGTAACACCATCTTCAAACCTCAAGTGGACATCCTGAATTTTCAGCTGCAGCAAATCAGAAGAGAGGAAATAACTATCGTGACCGCAAAGTGGTTTAATGGCCCATTGCGAGTCATTTTCCTTCATGTGAAATAACCCAGACTCTGGAGAAATTTATATTTAAAGTGTCCTTTCTACACAGGCTGTACTCCGAAATGTGTTTTACTTACTTCAATATTGTCCACAATTCTGGTCACAATTGAAGCAGTTACGGTGTACCAGTATGACTCTCCTTTTTGCTCTTGTTCGCTCTAAGGGCAAATCAAGTGGACATTTCACAAAAATGTTGTACACGTTTGTCAATACAGCCACATTAGTACATTTCTAAAAAATACAATTTCCATAAAATGCACCTTCAGCCACAACATTTTTATCAGGTTGGGCTAGTGTAGTGAGAAATTAAAAGCCCTTGTCAGATTTTTATTGTTGTCCATCTTCAATTGAGGAGGTTCCTGCTCACTAAGGCCTGTTTCCACCATCACCAGACCAGATCTGGATGCTTTTTTGCAAACACAGTTGCACACATTTTAACGCATTCAAGTTTTAGTATGCAGATTATGTCTCTGAGGTCATTTCCTGCTTCTTCTAAGCTTTTCACGTGTTTGTGACCTTCACAGGAGCACAGGAGTAGAGCAAAAATGGAGCCATGAAATGCAGGCATTGTCTTGTGTGTGATAATCCTGGATGATTTGGGTCATGAAGCTCAGGACATTCTTGTACATAGGTGACGAACCTATCTGTGTCTGCATGTTTGTCCACCATGTTTGCAGGACACAGAGTACACAGCCAAGGTCACCAATGTTCAGGTGAAATGCCCCTTTTCCATAAAGGAAGTGTCCAATGTTGATTAGGTTACCAAAAAGGTGACCAGTAGTGTTTTTTTTTAAACTTGCGTTCATGTGCTTTTACACGCGTTCCAGACCAGAAAAAATTGTGCCTGCAGTACTGTTTTTTTAAAGCACTGGAATTGAATGCACTCGTGAGAACTACACCCCTAAAATACCATAGGAATGCATGGGGATGTATTTCTGGTGTGTTTAAAAAAACATTATGGTCTGATTCTGGTCTGGTGATGGTGGAAACAAGCCTGGACACGTCTCATTGATACAGAAGTGAGGGGAAATGTCTCGATATGCACAGGTGAATAGTAATGGAGAAGTTCAGATACCTTCCATTTGTCCTCAAGTGCTTTCAGAAGAGCTTTTTTGCGAACTTTTTCCAATAACTTCTCCTTCAGCTCATCAAAATCTTCCAGATTTTCAGGAGATCCGATTAAATGAAGCTTGGAAATTGAGATCACCCATGGATCCAAGTGTGGACGGTAAAAAGGGATCTGGATCCTTATTTTGTCAATAAAACCTAAAAGACAGGAAAGCATAGACATGAATACAACTTAAACAGAAAGTGAGGGTTAAAACTAGAGGTGCACCGAAATGTAAATTTCAAAAAAGAAACGAAACAAAAAAAAAAAAAATATGTCAGGTCGAAACCGAACATGTTTTTTACTTTAACTTTTTCAAAAAAATTAATATTTCATTTGTATTTATTTTTTATAAAACTTTTTAATTTTTTTAGATATATTTGTATTTGTTTATTCATTTTTTTTATAATATTGTATTAATATAATTATTATTATAATATTAATATGTATTTTTGACTTTACTTTTAGGGGCTTTGAGGAAATATTAGGGGTCTAAACAGACCCCTGATATTTTCCTTTTAAAATAGAAAAAGAGATTGAGGACAGAGTGCTCAATCTCTTTTTCTGCAGCCCCTGTTATAAGTGAACAGGAAGCCTCTATGCTGAGTGTTCCTGGTCATTCATAACATGAGGACAGAGTATGTTTACTATGTCCACAATCATGAATGAATAGGAGGTGATGTAGATCACTTTCCATTCATTCCTAATTGAGGATACAGTAAACATACTCGGTCCTCAATTATTTAGAAACACTCAGCGATCACTGATCACTGAGTGTTTGTACCCGCTCTCCACCCTGACAGCTGTCACAGGAGGCTGACCGAGCGGTGCAGGAAGGAGAGCTCAGCCTCCTGTGACAGCGCTGCAAGCTGTCTCTGCCCACACTCTGATCTGTGATAGGAGGCTGAGAAGTGCGGGGAGGAAAGACGCCGGCCACTCACAGCGCTCTCCTCCCGCAGCGCTCGGCCGCCTGTGACAGTTACTCTCCTCCCCACTGGGACACATAGCAGCGCCCAGCGGGGAGAAGAGAAAGAACAGATGCACCGATATCCTTCGGCAGCCGATATATCGGTGCATTCCTAATTAAAACCAAATTCTGCAACTTTGAAACATTCAATATTTACTAAAACATTCTACAAGGTTTAGCCACTTAGGGTTTGTAGGCAAAAAAGTCACAAGAGATTAAAAGGTGATTATCTCAATTCGTGTACTTCAGTTTTAGACACTAGAAACTCAGAACAGAACATAGTGTGATAGGATTTAGCAGCAAATGTATTTTTTCACCTTTAAACACCCATAGCCCCCTCTACCTATTCTAATAACTTGTCATCACACCTAAAATTCTGCCTAATCTTAACCCATATTACTTAAAACCTAATATCAAACCTAAAGCAGAAAGAGCCCTCAGTCACACTTATATTTTAAGTGCGATTTGGTATTCCTGCATCAGGAACTTGCGATTTCCTGCAGCAAGAATCCCAAATCTGGCGTTTACAAGTGGCAGCTAGATGAAAGTAGTCACTCGCACTCCATGATATTAAAGTCAATGCTGTTTATTGAGAAAGAGACACAGCCTGGAAACACGTAGCCGACTGCTGACAGACACCCCCTACCACCGAGCGAGACGGACTGTTCCACCGTCCAGCCCCGTGCTCGCTCCCAAGAACATCTACTACTCACTGTTTGCTGACAGTGTAATAATCGCCGCAGAGCGGCTCCTTTGCCTCTTACTCTGTACAGCCGACAGGACCCAGCCTGGCCAGCTGAGTCCTTACGGCACCCGATAGCACTAATACATCCAGTGCTCAGCCCGTTCTCAGACATGGCTGTATGACGCTACCTCCAGCCAGCGGCATCTTTCCCCGCGCTCCAGCCACATGAGCCATTTTTGTCTACAAGCCATCATCACTACCAATTCTCCACATCCATCAAACAGTGAGTCACCTCTCCCTATTTCTGCACAAATGCTTCTCATGTATCACACCTCATTTCCTAAACTGACTCATTAAGTATCTACATACTTGTGGGTAGTAGCGCTTCTTTTTTTGTTCTCTTTATCTCTATGCACAGGGTCCCTCTCCCTGCTTTAGAAGCCCGCACACCCTATACCATCAACTGTTGTTATTACAGTAGTGCGCTTACCATCTTTTCAAGTTAATGATCGGGCGACATTGACTGCATTTGAAAGTGACAGAACGCTGCATGCAGTGGTATATGATACGATTGAATGCAGTTAGGAATCAATTACTATTCCGGGATGCATTGATTATGTGTCCAGGGATAGTGATCTCTTTCTAACTGCATGTAATCGTACAACATAAAATTACATGCAGTGTGTCAGCGTTCTGCCTCTTTCAAATGCGCCCACTGTCCGACAAAGTGTCCTAAAGCTTTGAAAAATCCGCTTAAGATAAAACAAGGAACGTGTATGCACCCCTGGGTGTCTTATCGTAAATGTTAGGACAGTTGTATTACATAGTCACTGACTTTTTCAAACCTGCCGCACTTGTAGCATACCTGCTTTCACTTCAAATGGTAATTCCAGTTCTTTTAGCGCATCTTTTTTTAATGGTAGGTTTTCCAGTTCAACCGCACCTAGGAACAGCAAGAGAATGATTACATAAGAAATCTAAAGAGGTTCCTGCATTGTTATCCAAACCTTCTTACATAACCGTGCCGGCTTATATGACACTGACTCACCACCATGCATGGTTAAACTGTTACATAAACAACGCAGAAATACAATAGGGTGAGAACAAAAAGAACAGAAAAGCTACCAGCAAGCCAGAACACATTGAACAATTAGTATGCAACATTAAAGTACACTATGTTAAGTCAGCATTACAAACAGAGTTTTTACAGCATCCCACAACACTCTACAATATGGCAACACATTTTACTTAAACCCCCTCCCCCCCCCAAAATAAAAAATTAAAAGAGAACTATGGGGTAACCTTTTTTTATCCCATAGTTCTCTTTTGGGTCACAAGAGGACATATACTAATGTAACCCCGTTGACCAAAGCTCAGTACATAGCGGGCTATAGCCATATGCAGCCAGGACGGATCATGACAATACTGTCGGGAGCCACCCAGCTGGCTGATTGACAGCTGGCTCTCACTATCTAGAGGCAGAGCCAGCTGTGCCCGCCCCCTCCCCGGTATGTCCCTCTAGTCAGCGCAGGAGGATTGGAGCAGGGAGGGGGAATCCCTGTGGGGAGTGGTGCCTGACAGTCACCACTCTCTGCAGTGAGATGATCGGGAAGTGAGTGAGCGGCGGTATGTGTTCGCTCACTTCCCGATCAATAAAGCCGTCATGTGACAGTCTCATTGTCACAGGTCGGTTCTAACTGTGGGGATGAATGTAAATCACTCACCTCATAGTTCTCCTTTAAATATTTCTAGTGTGTAAGAAGTAGAATCCGTTTATACATGTTAAGAAATCAAACGAAAATGTCTGTTGAAAAATGAATGAGGACGTTTTGGTTGACTGGCAGCACATTTTTGTTTGGTAAAGACTAGGAAGCAACTGAGAGTTTAATGAAAGCCAGAGAACAATCAGAGCAGATCTAAACCCATTCTCTAAAATGTGATACAATTTCACGTAATTGCAAAAGTTGTTTTCAGTCTGTTTAAATCTGCAGCTTTCATTAAAAACCATCTAGCGATGCTGCCATGAAGGTCTTTGTTCTGGCACTTCCTGTTATGGGGTGACAGATGTCTCCCCATTGTGCTCCTTCATTATCACCCTGCCCCATACATTACAGATAGAGACTACTATGACACATTGTGCAGGCATGGTCCAACATTGTCACTATCAGGAAGCCAGTACAGAACAACGATGTTATGGTGACGCTGGAGCAAATGCAGGTAGACAGGAAGTGGCTGAACAATGGCTGGAGTAGATCAGTAGCATTGAGGGAAAAAAAAGAAGATTGCAAAATGAAAATGGTGATAATTTATGATACTGGGAGGGGAATTTATCAAAACAAAATCTGGAGCAGCTGTGCATGGCATCAGCTTCTCTCTTTCATTTTCAAACCTTAAGAATAGATTCTGTTTTTGTTGCTTTTTTTTTAAAGCTTAAAATGGGCTTTTAGGTGCATTTCAGTGCATTTGTATGTGTTTCCATGCGTTCCAGTGCATTCCAGACCCGACAAAATGAGACATGCACTATTTTTCTGGTCTGGAACGGACTGCGCTGATGTGAACAGAGGCCAGAAATAGCATAGGGATACATTAGGATGCATTTTGGGTCCGGACACAATCTGGTCTGGTGATGATCTGGAAGGGTTGTGAATGGGCTCTTCATGAACAAACTAAAGAGAGAAGCTGATTGGTTGACATGCACAGCTGCTCCAGTTTTGATAAATTCCCCCCACAGTGTATTAGAAAACCAAATGTCATCTAGTTGGGGTTTAAATCCACTACAAAAATCAGGTAAAATTCTAAGAGAAGTTAAAAAAAAACAGAACCCAGGCACAAAGAGATAACTAATAACTGATTATCTGCTCAGCAACCACAATTTAAAAATTAAAAGCGGACGGAGAGAAAAATAAAAAGAGGAGAGAGGAGCTAGAGAAAGAAGAGACAGACAGAGGTAGCTGTACAAACCATCAGGCAATTAATTACTGCTCCAGCGTTTCCATTGTGCAAAATAAGCATTTTAGGAGTTACTTTACCTTTTAAAAGTGCTACGGACAGCTGGTCTGTGTTGAGGTTGTTGACATATTTGCCCAGGTAGGTGTTGAGGACCCAGGCCACCAAACCCTCCAACATGACGACTGAAAAACGACTTAACTCTCCTGTACCATCTCACCAATCGTTCATTTGTGTTGTATTCCTAAAGTCACAAAAACAAATGTAAAATAAAACTATTTCTCTCACACTCTTTCCCAACACATTAGGACAGAGGTCAAAGGCTACAGAAATTGGAGGAAGTAAAAGATGTCTTGTTCATAACCACCAATCAGATTGACTGGTTATAGTTATGACTCTATTGTATTATTTCTACAAAACTTGGTGCCATTTTGCAGTTTTTTTTACACTGTATGATCCATATTGCTCAGGAATGACCATATTACCAAATACTGTAAAACAGAGGCGAGCAACCCATTGATTGCCATCTACCAGTCGATCGCGGACGTTGTGGGTAGATGACAACTGACTGTGCTGTGCTGCCAGCTCCTGACCCTGCTGCCACTTCACAGACTTCAGATAAGAGCAGCAATGTAAATGCAGCACCAAGGGAAGTCCTGGGATCCTCATTGTTCCCGATATATGACACATCCAAGGAAAGACCTTGGAGGATTTGCATTATGCTACCGGGTGTCACTGAATCTGAGGTCTAAGTACATTTTAAGAAGAGCAGAAGGAGGGAATTTGTGTTGGGACTATTTTAGCATAGGAGGGAGACATTTGTACTGGAAGGAGGGAATTTTTGCTTGTGAAAAGGAGATAAGCGTTACTTACTCTTTATCCATGCACTCTGAGTTACTTACTCCTGACCCCTTCGTTCTGGGTTACTTCTAACCTCGGCACTCAGTATTACTTACTCCTGACCCATGCAGCCTGCATTGCTTACTCCTGACCCCTGCACTCTGGGTTACCTAGTCCTGACCCCTGCACTCTGGGTTACCTAGTCCTGACCCCTGCACTCTGGCTTACCTAGTCCTGACCCCTGCACTCTGACTTACCTAGTCCTGACCCCTGCACTCTGACTTACCTAGTCCTGACCCCTGCACTCTGACTTACCTAGTCCTGACCCCTGCACTCTGGCTTACCTAGTCCTGACCCCTGCACTCTGGCTTACCTAGTCCTGACCCCTGCACTCTGGCTTACCTAGTCCTGACCCCTGCACTCTGGCTTACCTAGTCCTGACCCCTGCACTCTGGCTTACCTAGTCCTGACCCCTGCACTCTGGCTTACCTAGTCCTGACCCCTGCACTCTGGCTTACCTAGTCCTGACCCCTGCACTCTGGCTTACCTAGTCCTGACCCCTGCACTCTGGCTTACCTAGTCCTGACCCCTGCACTCTGGCTTACCTAGTCCTGACCCCTGCACTCTGGCTTACCTAGTCCTGACCCCTGCACTCTGGCTTACCTAGTCCTGACCCCTGCACTCTGGCTTACCTAGTCCTGACCCCTGCACTCTGGCTTACCTAGTCCTGACCCCTGCACTCTGGCTTACCTAGTCCTGACCCCTGCACTCTGGCTTACCTAGTCCTGACCCCTGCACTCTGGCTTACCTAGTCCTGACCCCTGCACTCTGGCTTACCTAGTCCTGACCCCTGCACTCTGGCTTACCTAGTCCTGACCCCTGCACTCTGGCTTACCTAGTCCTGACCCCTGCACTCTGGCTTACCTAGTCCTGACCCCTGCACTCTGGCTTACCTAGTCCTGACCCCTGCACTCTGGCTTACCTAGTCCTGACCCCTGCACTCTGGCTTACCTAGTCCTGACCCCTGCACTCTGGCTTACCTAGTCCTGACCCCTGCACTCTGGCTTACCTAGTCCTGACCCCTGCACTCTGGCTTACCTAGTCCTGACCCCTGCACTCTGGCTTACCTAGTCCTGACCCCTGCACTCTGGCTTACCTAGTCCTGACCCCTGCACTCTGGCTTACCTAGTCCTGACCCCTGCACTCTGGCTTACCTAGTCCTGACCCCTGCACTCTGGCTTACCTAGTCCTGACCCCTGCACTCTGGCTTACCTAGTCCTGACCCCTGCACTCTGGCTTACCTAGTCCTGACCCCTGCACTCTGGCTTACCTAGTCCTGACCCCTGCACTCTGGCTTACCTAGTCCTGACCCCTGCACTCTGGCTTACCTAGTCCTGACCCCTGCACTCTGGCTTACCTAGTCCTGACCCCTGCACTCTGGCTTACCTAGTCCTGACCCCTGCACTCTGGCTTACCTAGTCCTGACCCCTGCACTCTGGCTTACCTAGTCCTGACCCCTGCACTCTGGCTTACTTAGTCCTGACCTGTGCACTCTGGGTTACTTACCCCTGACATGTGCACTCTGGGTTACTTACCCCTGACCTGTGCACTCTGGGTTACTTACCCCTGACCTGTGCACTCTGGGTTACTTACCCATGTCCCCTGCACTCTGCATTACTTACTCCTGAACCCTGCATTCCAGGCTACATACTACTGACCCCTGCACTCTGCATTACACACTACTGATCTCTGCACTCTACACACTACTGGACTTCTGAGATGTTTGGATGGTGCCCTTATTGGCTCAACTGCTCGTGGACTCCTCAGGTTTTTATTGCAGTCTTTGTCCCCAATTGGAAATTTCCTCTCAGTCCCTGTCCCGGTGACAGGTAATCATTGGGACAGAAAGTGAGAAGAAATCTCCCCAAGAGAAGCACAGACAGCCATAAGAACCCTCCTCCACATTACCAAATCAATTGCTGCTCGGAGATCCAATCTAAAAATGGTATTTTACATGTGCTTGGAGTTTGGCATTTACACATTTGTTTTCATTTATACAATGCCCATGAGCTTTTCATGCTGTAACTCCCTGTAACTGCTCTCCCTGTACTTTGAGCTTCCTGGCCTGTTTATGGGTTAGCAGCACAAGCAATGCAGCATGACTACCGTGTTTATTGCCTATAGGTTACCTATGTGAGCGCACTGATTATAATGTTATCTCTTACACTCCACTAAAAAACCAGCACCGATAGCCATCAATTACTGTTTTGTTATAGAAAAATCTTAAGTACTGACACACAAGGAAGTTGCCAGCCCTTATGCTGCAAATGACAATATAAACATGTCCCGGGTTCTGGTGTGACAACACTCATAAAAAGTAAAAGAGCTTCCTTGGGGTATGGCCCTTATAGGCTTCAATGAGGTAATCTCATTTGCAATTGATAATACAATTTCACACCTAGCAAACATCTCCTCCTCCTAGTAAATAGCTTTCCATTGACTAAAACAAAACCTCATGCCAAAAAAATATGTGAAAAAGTGTGCACAAACGTACAAAAGTGCAAATGCTACATGTAAATGCGGCCTTAAAAGTGACATTAAAGTCAAACCTTTTTTTCCCTTTTCCAATCCTGCTGTAGGGACTTGCCCTAAATGATGCCTCTTAATCCGATCTTCTTATTCTTTCCTTTCCAGCTGTTCCTCCAGCGCTGGTGCGGGTGTCTGATCCAGCGCTGACTCCTCTGTCCTCCTCTTCTCTGATGCCCCATGGAGTCTGTGTGGGTGCACGCTGCTCCATAGACTTACCTTGTATCCCTCCTCGTCTCCCAGGTGAACATCTGAACTGCGCATGCGCCCGCCCTAAGATCCTTTGCGGCCACCCGAGACGGGACGGGAGCGCGCGGCGGAGACACAGGTAAGTATTAACCCTTTGAAAAAGTTTTTTTTTAAAAATCATTTTGAATATATCTACTTCTTGCTAGCAATAGATATATGCAAAAACATGTGAGGGTTTAATAACCCTTTAATTGTGTCTGTAAGACCATTCCTGGTCGTGTGGATGCTTCTGCGCATGGGCCTATCTGCAGTAAAAAGGGACACTACTGCGCATGAGCGCCCAACGGAACGTACACGCGAAGACGCGCTAACGTGGCGCACAGGAACTGACACAACCTCTCTGATTGATGACCCTATTTAAACCTGCCAGTTCCAGGGATCATTGCTGAGTGGCCTTTCAGCTTCTGTGTATGTTCCAGTGCCTCTGCCTGTTCCTCTGTTTGTTGCTGACCCGGATTTCATTGACTACGCCTGACTACTGCCTGCCTCTGACCTCTGCTTGTTCCTGGATTACTCTTCTGCCTGCCTCTCCTGTACCCTGCTGCTCGATTGGTATTGACACTGGCTTGCCCGACTCGGCTCTGCTCCAGCCGTGTTCTGGGTGGTTCCCAGCCGCATCTGCTTCACTGAAGACCGACTTCGGGACCTGCCCAGGCCCAGTGCCCTGCACCCTCTGGCACCGGTGCTGCTCTCTGTCCTCTCACTCCCTGTCTCCAATCTCAGGGGTGTGGGACACGAGTTGCAAAGGAGGCCTCCTCACTACTCAGTTCTCTACCAGGTACGTGATAGTGTCTGAGCAGTACTCTGAAAATTTACCATTTGCTTGAATTTCTCCTGAATTATATATAGCATGTGAGTGTGCCTAGGCACCAATGTACCCACAGCCTTATAGCTGTACATCTTCAGCATGAGATCTAAGGCACTGCTGCCTCACTTTTAGATTTGTGATCTGCCTCTATGAAGATGTCAACCTTTACACAGAGACAGAGTCAAGAACAAAAGTCCATGAACCTTGCTGCACTCCTTACCGGTCTGCCCCATTAATGGGTGCTTGCAATGACTGCGGATAGCACCGCTCAGGATACAATAACAGATAAAGATGTCACCAGCACTCCAATCCAGAGACTCACGTTAGTGCAAATCCATTTTAATGACACAAGTCATAAAGACAAGTCAAGAACAAGGCACGGCAAGTCAGCAGTGGAGAAAAGATCAGCTGCAGGCAGACTAGAGGCAATACTGGTAACCAGTCCTTTGCCCTCTGTCTTTTTTTGGCGTGAAGCTTCCACAGTTCAGGTCCTCTTTACTAACACATACATAAATATAGTTTGGGTTCTTCTGTTTAAAAAAATACGGAACAAAACAGCTGTCCCCATAAATGAAAATCCAAAATATTAAGCTGTCACCCAAACAATAATAAAAGGGAAATCTGAAATCTTCAAATAGGGGCTCTGATCCCGGTGACAACTCGGAGGGACCTTTCCTCACTTTGAAGAGATTTTGCT